AAGGCTTACGCTTTAAAGCATGTCAACTGAAACTTGCACCCCTCTGCCGAACCGTAAATCGCAAACCCCGAACACCAGGTAAAAGAGTCGAAGCCCGATGACCTCGAAACATCCCTGAGCCCTAAGCCACTCCTAAACCTGAAGAACCGAAGCGCCACCTCGGAGTGCTGGTATGAGGCCCACGTCGCTCAGCAAGACTCGGGCGTCAGGTTCCCTGTGGGCTTTAGGGCTTGAGGGCTCCGGGGCTTCGCTCTTTCGTCTAAGGAGACGGCCTGTCATGGCGTCTACGGCAGTGGCCGCAATGAAGCTTGGGGGTACTGATTCCAGGCCAAGCAAACTAGTTGCTCTTCAGCATGCAAAAGCTATTTGGATTTGGTGTCTAGATCTTGCGTCGGGCTTTCGTTCGGGCACCTTCAACCGCCTTTAAACTTCGTAAGCCCTATCGGTCTCCAATCTGGAGGGGGCGCCCCGACCTTGCCTCGAGGTGAGCAGCACGTTGCTCAACTGCAGATCATGGTGATAGACACCTTCCAGCTTCAGTGCTGCTTGTCCCATATCGTCTGTGGGGCTTGGGCTGTCGCTGTCGGACTGAGGTTCCACGCGACGCCACGGTCAACACGGTGGCAAACACTTCCGCCCAGCGCCACGAGCCCTGAAGCATCATCGGTGTCGTCATCGTCACGTTCATTACCTGCCAGCTATCACCAACGCAATCAGCATCGTGGTCGCAATCACCGTTATCGCCCCTTTCATAGTCATTCCTCGTCGTCCTCCTGCTTCGGCATCTACATCAGTATCAGCATCACCATCAGAACCAACACAGGTGTTCTTGCTGCGTCACGCCTTCATCTTTTCATTTCGCATACTTGCCAATCCTCGAGATATGCTGCCCCTGCCCTGCCTAGTGCGTGGCAGTGCACCAAGGCTGCCAGGATTTGCGCCACGTAACTTGCACCTTGTCCCAGTGCCAATTTTGGGGATTGAAGATGAGAGTATAACCGCGACAATGTTCTTGGCGGTCCCGGGAACTGAGGATCTTCGGCGTTGACGGCCTTCTTGGGGGTTTTAGTCTTTCACCGACCGCGTATTCGCAGAATCCGAGCTGGAATTTCCAAGCGCAGCACGGCAAAGGGTTCATACCAAAAAGACACTCAAAAGCCCTCAGACACAGTCAAGCCCAGTTGTCCTGCTTCTCACTGACTCAGTCTTGAAGCTTCGGGACCCCTTGCTCTGCTCGCTGATGCATTTTGGACTTCTACTAAGGCCAGTACAAATCTCCTCTTCGAGCGTTGCCTCCTCACCTAGCCTCCCAAGCTTGCGCGGTTTCGATTTTGAAGCTGGGCTCAATAAGTGGGTAAAGGTGGAGGGGTTGGCATTGTGGCGCTATGGTTCGAGGGCTTCGTTACGAATTCGGATCTAGAGGTTTGAGGAATCTCAGGAAAGAGGCCGTGAATGCATCAAGTCAGAGCTGCTCTGTTTTGCGGTTGTCTGTTTTTTTGGTTGTACTGCCTACATTTCAGGGGCACGCCTTTCAACGACCACATCGTAGGACGATTCTGGGACCTACTGTTCTTACGAGATGTCGCGCGCAACAAACAGAAACTTGAGAGATATAGGACATGGGGCGAAGACTTCCCGTTGCTCGTCTGCAATCCACGAGGCTCTGAGGCATTCTATGGACGTGGAGCTAAAGGCCAAGAATGCGAACCAGCTGAAAGAAACTACTGGCGGGGAGGGGCAACACAGTCACGAAATCGAAACGACAGGATGCTGATCCTTTTTCTCCCCGCGTACTAGGACACGGTCCGCTGAAACATAGCAGTGCTAGCATTGGCAGTTGTGCCCGCAATCCCGGTGTCCAGCATACCTCAGCGAACGCGCACCGTCTGTCTCTCCTCACATTTGCATACATGAGCCGACATTGGAAAGCCGAAAAGCCTGCAAGCTCACCTCAACATCTGAAACACATCTTTGCAATCATTGGTCTTTACAGGAAGATCAACTCTGCTTTCTGCGAATTCAACTGGTTCAGCCCAGGAGAAGACACTGTGATCCATGACAGTGACATACTGTCTCCCCAGACTGTATCCAACCTGCAGGAAAGCCATTGCTGACGAAGATCCCTACTTCGCGACACTAAGTTGAAAAGCTTTCCCTAAACCCTGAACACTAGCTCTCACGGGCGCAGCCAGCATGCGGTAGTACCGTTCTGTGCCACCGGCATAAGGGCCAGGGATCTGCACGCCTTGCCAATCTACGATCTAGGCCCTAGGTCTTAGACAGGGATTCTAAAGATATAACTTCAAGCCAAAGGTCCTTTGTTTAGCTGCAACTGCACGTAGAGCTCTGAAGCCCTACATCCTCAAATCAAAGCCTTGTTCACCTTTCAGTGCGCATTGCTCGGTGGGATCTCGACTGTGGGGGGATGCCGACGGCAAGGGGTCCGTCAGGATTGCATGCTTGTATCTGATAGGCAGGAACCTCGACTCTGAGTTATGATCCCGGGAAAACGATCGAGGAACCACACGTGCATCGGACAGCACGGTTCTGGGTCTTCAAGGTATGGCCTCAGACCCAAGCACTCAAACCCCGAACTCCCAAAAAAGCCTTCCAGATTCTTCCAGAATTCAGAACCAATCCTGATGAGTGCACAAAGCCCAAGCCGCTCTATCAACATCCTTATCTGCACAAGCCTCTAAGCCCTGCGACCCCTCTGGAAGCCACAACATACCCCATTATTGGCCTTTTACCCTCGTAACCTTGTCATGCAGAAGCCTTAATTAAGCCTTAATGCGTTCGAGAATATTAGACACCCTCGGGAATAATATTGTCAATTAATTATTCGGACTTCTATACTGCGGCCTAGTGTAAAGCCCTTCGCCTGGCTGGGCAGTCGCCGGGCGCCAGTTGGCCTGTGCTGGCCTTCAGTGTCCAGATTTCAAGTACACGATTTCTGACAATACCTTAGAGTATAGAAATCAAGGAATTTTCAAAATTTTCGTGGGCTTGAGGACTGGATCTTCGGACTGTTGCAATGCTGCAAGGATTTGACAGGTTTTAGGTTGGATCCAAAACTGTGAGAAAACCTTGGGCTCAAACCGTAGTCAAGACAGCCTAAATACTGTCTTTCTGATCGCTTGATCTCCGCTTGGACCAGCTTCTGAAAGACCTGTTTCACCATCCATGCGGCAAGGACCCCGAACTCTAGCCAACTTTTGCCAACTCCAAGGAGCAGGGGAGGTCGCGCCGAGGCCGGTGGCAATGTCTGCACCGACATCGCCTGCGAGTGGGCCTCCGCATGAGACAGGAGTCGAGGCTGTTAGGGGAATGTGGTCCAAAAACGTCCAAACCCAGAACCCCCGATTTGGAAACACCCCCAAAACACCTAGACCCCCAGTCTCGGCTTAGAGCCCCAATCTCCCCGCGAGCTGAGGGTCTAGAAACAGCCCCTGAGCCCCAAACCCCTAAACCCTGAGCCTTGGGGCTTAGACGGTACAGGGGGGAAAAGGGTGTATACAAGGGATGCTATCTGCATAAGCGTGTTACCCTTTCCTTTCTCCGCCCAAAGCATTAGTAGGGCTTAGGGGGTGTGTGCGGGTTGGGGGCGTGGGGGTGTACAAGGGTGTATCGGGTGAGCTTCAAAAAAGAGGCAGACAAAAAGAAGGGCATGAAACCACCCCCCGCAAGCAGAAAGCCAGACCGCGATACGAACAGTTAGAGTCCGAGGCGGGTTCGCGAAGCGGTTATGTCATTATTGCGATGATTGTTATTCTCTTATCGGAAATTGTCGGTATTATTATTCTTTTATCATTATTACTATTATTATTATTACTACTACTACTACTACTACGACGACGACGACTACTACTACTACTGCTAAGACTACAGCGACGACAACTACTGCGGAGCACTGATCCCATGACAATAGCATCACGCGACGAACCCTATCAATATTTATGCTATTGCCTCTCCAACTGCGAGCCATGGCCAACAGCAAACATGTGCAAGAATGACACCACGGCCACCGTAACAAAAACAGTGAAGTAACACTAGCAACATCGCTGAGGAAGATAATGTGTGCGACAGTTCGTGCAGACTCACAGTGGCCAGTGGTTGGTTGAAACCATAACGTATTGTCCGCAGCGGTCACCCGAACATCGAAAAACTAACATAAAACATCAACCACAAACCTCACCACAGCACGACAACAAACGACACGAACGGCCATCATGATGTGCACTTGTTTCAATGTCAGTGTTTAGGCCTTGGCCGGCTGGGGCTGGATGACGCTGGGAGGTCGCGCTTGCGACAGGACTGCCGGCTGCGGGACACCTTGGGGACCGCAAGCTCGGGATCTTGCTTGTCGACACAGGGAGTCTTGCAGAGGGTTTTCTCGACGATAATGTTGACCTTCATGCGGTTGCGAGGGTGTGTCCGTGGGTGAAGGCGAAGGGATCATTCGCCGAACTCGTATTTTAGGATTTGGGCCGTCTGCCCCTCGAGCACGGCAGTGTGCCTCACTACACTCAGGTCTCGTAAGTCGGCATTGGGTCGCAGCCGAAATCTAGAAGCCGCTCTCAAAATCGCAGGCTCTACAGTAGAATGGTGCATGTCCCGTCCTCGAGCCTTATGTAAACCCCGAGCCTGAAGGGGGGGGGGGCCATTGCTTGCAGGCTGCCGGCACCGTAGGCTGTGAAGCCTGCGGGCGGAGGCTCCCCCGAAGAGCCAAACGAAACAGAACGTCCTGCATCGGGCCACAAGCGCTAGATTTTGGCTCCCGGCTGGCAAGCCGAAGTCATCTCCACAGATTCATGTGGTTGAGGGCGTGTTGGTTTGCTGGCATGTTGCGAGCGCTCTCTCAGGGTGACTACTTGGGTCATCTGCAGCCTCCATGCCGGGAGCATCCCAAGTTTGGGGGGCTCTGTTTCTCCTTCTTGCAGGATATGCTGTCGATGATGCCGGCCCCTCTGAACCAGACTACACCTGCCCAAATCTCTGTCCTGCGACAGAGGCAGGGGTGTAGGCCGGCGGCTGAGCCAGCTGCTGGAGATGCGCCTCGCCATTGAAGGGTAGACTCGACATGATGTTGCGCTGCCGCGGGTTGCCACTGCTCGGTTTTGCTGGGTACAAATGGTGCGGGCAAAGCGTAAGTTGCACCAGGACCACATAGTCACACAGCAGTGCAAGAAGCGACAGCTGCTGAATCTCTTCATTATCCTTTAGCCCTCCGGCCTTATGTTTTTTTGTCGAGAACTCTTGTCTTTGTAGCTGTTTATCTCGCTCTCCCTGCTTCCGTTTGCTGTGGGTCTGGTCAGACACAATGCTTGACTTTTGCTGACAGGAAGTTCCGTTTCGACAGTGGCACCCATATGCCCAACTCACCAAGCAATCCCGCCTGCAGGTGCTCGAAGTGCTGCCGGCTCCTCTCTGGGCTTCTGTTGAAATGCTGCCGTCACAGCTCTCCAAGAAATTTGATTAGAATGATCAGGTTCATGATGGCGCAGGTGGTAACGAGTCTGTCGCAAATAGTCTCTCGATGCGTGACTCGGCCTCAATGTCCGGTCCGGCTTGGCAGGTAAAGGACGGCTTGATTGAATTAGGGCTGGATAAGCTCCTCAAAGCGTGAGTGCACGCATACAGAGTCAGAAGAGTGCTCCAAAGATTGCCGGGCTTCACAGGTTGATTCAGTAAGTACTGATTACTGGCTACGGACTACAGGTCTGACTGTGGTTTTGCTGGCAGAGTTGCTGTTAAGCAATACTAACCTGCCAGCTTGTCACCGGGCTCCCACGGCTTTCCGACATCGAACATCAGGCCTTGAGCCTCGAGCTCACTGCAGCGACAGCTCAGACCCTGAAGTTTGGGGGTTGAGGGTGCGGGGTTTCGACCACCGGAAGCCACCGGACTGCATCCAAGGCACTGCGTGGATCTCGCCTGATGTGAGTGTATGGTCAGGTGTGGCTGCTGCTGCTCAGACCAATGCGACGACGACGACCTGCTGCTACTACTCCTCCTCCTCCTCCTCCTGCTGCTGCTGCTAATGTTACCTCCACCGCCACTGCCACTGCCACTGCCACTACTACTATTACGACGACGACCACTACTTCGCTCCTGCTTGTAATTGTCGTTCTGTTTGTGGCTGTTCTTGCCATGACATGAGTAACATCACCGATGGAACTCGAGTGCCAAGCCCGAAATCCGCAAGCTGTGATTGGGCACACTCCAGCACGAGCACGGGGTCGGGACAAAAGAAACACAATGTGCCGGTCCCCCCAGGTGGCCAGAAGCTTCAAACTTCGAAAATGTGGACATTAAAACCCTGAAAAATGAAGCTGTCGCTTGTGCCTATTATTCTGCAGCACCCTTATCGAACGGATAGTGTTCTCATTGTTTTGCAAATTCTGTTCTGGTAACCTGCTCGCACTGCTCTCTTTGTTTTCACTCCTCTTTCTGGTCGCTGCAGCCCCATATTCTTCGAAACAAATCCGAACCAAAAGCCCAAAGCTTGCCGCAAAATAAGAGCTCGAGAGCCTCTGACTCCGTGGCCGCACGCAGCTCTGGAGAGGCCACGGTGGGCAAGTTGGAGGGTAGGCCTTCGAGTGGCAGTTCAGTGTCTGTTGGGATGCGTGGGGTGTTGGGCTTTCCTACTCCGTTCATACCGCGGCAAGGTCCAAGGGCTTCGGTTTAACAGTGCGGACTTTGCACAGATGATTAGGATGAGTTGTGTTACTACCTGCAGACAGCATGCGAGCATGCACGCTTCTTTCACATCAGCGCGATGTCAGCGAAGATATGACCAAACCGAGCGGCTATCGAACACAGAATACAAACCTGGAGGAAGACAGTCAGATTTAGCGTTCGAGTTTGAGTTTACAAGCGCAGACGAATGTGTTGTGCATCGGACCAAAGGTCGCGCATCATGGGTGTTGGCAACTAGAGCTAGTATAAGAGCCACCTGTCAATCCTCTGAAAAAACACACGGATTCCAAGGCTTTCAGAGCGGAGAGCCCTTGAAACAGGGGGCGACGACGAGAAAAGGATTTTAACAGCTTGCGGGCAACTTGCGGGAGGGAGCAAAGAAGAGTTCGACAAAAGTCTCCTCATATAAGAAACCTTGAACCCTTCCCCCGCCTCAGGAAAAACCCCCTTAATAATAGAATAATGCCCAGAACCAGAAATTCTGCTGTCCGGGCTTCGGTCCCTCACCGGGCTCTTCATGAAGCTCAGATGCTCCGGATGGGAGGTCCAGAACTCGTAGCACTTCCTGGGACGGGAGGCTAACATCGGCCAGTTCCGAGCAAGGTCCTAGCAGAAGCACCTCCAAATATGGGGCTTCGGTGCGCTGAATGGTCTGAATTCGTCGTGGGATCCCCGAACTCTCGCCTAGCTAAAGGCAGCTCAAAGTTTCTGGTTCAGGGTCTCCAGCGGTGGCGTCACCCGGGAAGCATAGTCCAGAAGCTCCCGCACGTTGCTGGCATCAATCACCTGAGATCTGGAAACCCGGGAATGGGTACACAGCAATCCTCCGTTTGCGACTGCTTCTGGTCCCACTCCTACTCCAACTCCTTTACACTCATCGACCTTCACCTCCTCTTCCTCCTCCTCCTGCTACTGCAACTGCTGCTGCTGCTGCTACTACTACTACTACTCCTCCTGCTGCTGCTGCTACTACTACTTCTACCACTACCAC